TCGGCATTCAATCATATATCTCGGTAACTATTGCGAAAATTGCAAAATGTTAGAGAACTTTTCGATTCAATTTAGTCCTCTCTACCTATCTATCGAACTGAGTCGAAAAGTTTTTTACTATTTTGCAATTTTCATAATACTTTAGGAGATATTAATTTCTAAATGTCACTAAATAATCACATATCCGCGCGGACTATCGCCAAGTATATGCCCATCGGTTGCGCGGGGAATAGGGACTGCTTGAAATTAATATCTCCCAAAGTATTGCGAAAATTACAAAATGGTAAAAGATTTTTCGACTCAGTTCAGTCCGCTCTACCTGCTCGCGAGAAGTAGGTCTTGTAGATCGGAGTCACCCTGTATAGATTCTGTCATTTCTGAAGACTGTTTACGTTTTTTTTTTAACGCTGTATAATCTCATTTATTAATTAGCTGATGTGTAAACTACTTTTCGGACTGACGATAAATATCGTAGAAATTACGTCAACCTGAATAGGTTAATCCGCATTCGCTCCGTATTTAGGGACGAAGATGCCTTGCCATCGTCGATGCTGCTCAAGTCACCCAAATGCCATCTTTGAGGATACCGGGCATCATTTCTCGAAAGAAGATTGGTCGCCATTGGAAATCAACATCCTAAATTATACGAAAGAGCGTGATGCTAGTTCAGCGACATATTGAATTCATTTATTACTTGTCAGACTAAAGTGAAACGCGTATTGTTAAACTGGAGTTTTGTGGGGAGTTTTTATTACAATGTTGAGATCCCAAGAATAGAACACAGAAGTCGTGAGGATATCATCATGACTCATTCGTTACTTATAAGTCAATTTTTAGGTATCAAATGACGTCATGATGGCGTTCTGTGATACCATTATGACTTAATTATGACTCTGTGTTCTATCTGAGATGTAAAACTCGACTCTGTCAACTCAAATATCATTTTATCCTTGTTGTTCACCGAATGTTGAACAAGGGTAAAAGATACTCAGAGTTGACAGAGTCGAGTTTTGAAGCATACCCCTGATAATTAGAATAATTTCTGCATATATAGCAACCTCATTATATTTTTTATATATTTGCAGAGTTATTGAATTCGGAAGCTTATTTATGTAAGATATTTAAAGAATATTTAAATTGTAAACAAATGAAACGAATTTAAATGAGAGGATTTTACAAAATGATTAATATATCCAATATTCGATGATCTACGTCGGAATGCATGCGAAGTACGGTTTAAATTGAGAAAAGCGAGAAGCACGGTTTATGCCGCATGAAATTGAAGAAGGGTCTATTTAGTGTAATATTTTCTTCTCATAAATTTTATAGTGGTATGACTGAGAACAAGAATCGTTTTGATTTTCAACCCTATTTCTTGATGATTTATTCATTTATTATTTAATTACGGAAAATTACCACTGTAGTGTAGTAGTGTAATAGCGCAGTAGTGCCTCAGAATACTACTACCATTGGTAAAAACTTACGGGACACCCTGTATATTCATATCATTCCACTAATAAAAGTCAGCAAAAATTGCTAGGTATAATAATAGTAATGATTTTTATAATTTTGGTCGTAAAATCCGAAACTTGTCAAATTGACGGGTACTGTAAATCTAATATTAAATATATAAAAACAAACAGAAGGACGTGTCGTAGGGTCAAGTTTAAATTTTCGATTTTAATTCATTATTGCAGTTATCAGTAGATCGCTAATTTTGTCGCGACGCTTCTTCGTTGTCGTAACGCTTCCTCTCAGCTGGCCTTAATCCAGAGCTTGCGCACAAGAAAATAATTCACGATCGCAGCTAAGGTCAGCCATCAGCAGGCTTTTAAGTCAGTCAGTCGAATCACGCGATTGATCGACTGTAGATCGGGAATATTATCTGTCATCAAGAGAAATAAAGGGAAGAGATGCCAGACGCGAAAAAAAGAGTATGCATCGTCGGCAGCGGCAATTGGTAATTTTTTTTGTGTCAAGGATAATTAATTAGGAATTAATTATCCTAATTGCGAAAAATCGTTTCTCCCCTATTTTCTCCTATTCTCTCCCGTCTTGTATTGTTTTATTGAGCTGTGTGTGCACCCTAACATTTGTTGGAGTGCTTCAGCTAGAGATGAAAGCTGTACCTCTTCTTCAGATAAGTTTATATAATCATAAGTATAGTATTAAATAATAGTTAAAAAATAAATTAATATTATAAAAACAATTAGAAAAGTCTTTTGATATTTAATTAATGAATTATTGTTTATTAATCAAATTTATTTAATTAATATTATAATATTGACCGATTGAATGAGTAATAATATAATAATATAAAATAATTTTTGATTGTATAATATAATAATATAAAATAATTTTTAAATTGTATTAAAGATTACAAAAGGAAAAGAGTACAAAAAGGCTATAAATATACACGTATGTACATATATACATATTTTTTCTTATTACATATTAAAAGAAAAAAAAAGATATATTTTTGCCTTAGAGTTGAATCTAATTTTTAAATCAATAATAGAGTAGGCCACAATTTTATTTGATCTAGTTCAATCTAGTTTTGTCATCAGTGATAAACACGCCGCAATGCAATTGTGCTGTCCGCTTATTGTTCCAAAATTAACTCGGTGTATCATCATACGATTTCGAGGTCTTATAACATGCAGCTGTATCAATTTAATAAAGCTGTATCAATTTGTTAAAGCAAATTTGTGATTATATATTTAGATACACAAGATATAATTGCAATTTTTTATCATAATCGATAACTCTATATATAAAATAGATTTGACTAATTTAATTAAATTGGTATGTATTTATTTATATGACATTCTTATGTATTATACATATATATATATAATTATATAATGTTACTAATATTACTATATTAGTATAGTATATTACACACATATGTAGCATATATATAAAACTATACAATAATTATTTAATGTCTTATTATTTATTGACATGATTATTATTAAGTGACTTATTAATTGAGAATAACTTTATGTAAAGAATCTTCTTCTGACATGTAGCAAATCGTTCCAGGGGCTCGGCGATCGCGAAGATCGTCGGGGCGAATGCCATGAAGTACAACAACATATTTGAGACTCGAGTAACAATGTATGTATACGAGGAGATTATCAACAACGAAAAATTAACCAGTATAATCAATACCATCCACGAGAACGTTAAATATCTACCTGGTCACAAAATTCCGGAAAATGTGGCAAGTATCTCTATGAGAATATATAATATTATTCCTTTTATTCGCAATCGATATTCGGTATCGATTGCTCAGCAATTTTTTTAAAACAATACGTTTGAAGCTTAATTAATAATCGTTAAAACTATTAAGTGACTTTTATTAGATAAAACTTCATAACGTTACAATTTTCTTTCAAATCTCGCATAATGTGATACTGAATTAAAACTATTCGAACAAAGTTCTGAAACAGGTAGAAATATATAGCGTAGATATACGGTGTTTTCCAGCAAGGACACAGTGTAACAGTGAATCATTACATCCTTATCGTTTGCCTACGTTAAACAAGGATGAAACGATTCACTGTGTTACACAGTGTCTGACTATGTCCTTGCTGGAAAGTACCCATGTTTTTACAATTAGTAATTAGTAGTAGTGCGAACGTAGACTTTTCCGGATGGCATGGATATACGATCGACTCCTCCTGGGAAAAGTTTCGGGAGATCCTCTTCCTTCACCGTCGGCAGAATCATTACTTTCTCACCAGGCTGCAATATCATTCGCATAATTAAATCGGATAAAAACTTTCGCCATAAATTAATGCCATTTATCGTCATAATTGAATTAGATACTATCACAAATAGCATGCAATGAAAAGTGTAAGGTTGAGACTCACCACCCAGTTGGCGGGAGTTGCTATCTCCGGCCTTCTGTCGACGAGCTGTAGCGAATCGATTACACGTAATATTTCGCTAAAACGATAATAACATTGATTAATAGAGTGAATTTAAATTAACACATACTCAGTATATGAATGCAAAAGTCTTAAATATTCTCAAACGTGAAATAGTGCAGTATTCGGTCAACTCACTCGACATTGCGTCCAGTAGAGGTCGGATATTGCATAGAAAGTCGTAGACGATGATCTGGACTGATAATATAAAGAGACCGAACGGTCTGAGCGGTTTCCGGATCGTCCTTGCTCTGTTCATCAATCATGTCCAGCTTCACGGCGAGTTTGCGATCAGGATCAGCGATTATGGGATATGGAAAAGCACCAGGGATGTCCTTGCAATACGATTTAATGTCCTGCAACAGAAATTAGGAATTACATTAGTTGAAAAATTAATTAACAAAACTAACCAGAATTAATTCAAAAAAGGGAAAAAAAGAAATAGAAAAGTATAAAGATTCTGAACACAAACATTAGAAATAATATTAAATGTAGAATTCAAAGATGCTTACATTGACCCAGTCCACATGATCCTTAAGTTTGTCAACAGAATGAGCAAGCAACTTGGTGTTGCGTTTTACGAAGTGCGGTTGATGCACCGCAATACGACCCAGTTCGGTGGTGCATACTGGGGTAAAGTCAGCAGGATGGGAGAATAGGACCACCCATCTGCGAAGAATAAATAATCATTAATAAAAAATCAGATATTGAAAAATTTATATGATAAAAGCATCAAATTAAATGCATAATTATTATACACGCATCCATACACGCACGTACGCACGCATGCACTAAATATAAAATTAGAAATATAAGATATATATTTTATAATATACATTATATTTATATACAGTTATAATTTTATATTTTATTTAAATTCATTTTAATTTTAATTTTATATTAAAAAAAAAAAAAATATAAATTAAATTATATTTAAAAAATAATAAAATAAAAATATGTATAAAAAAAACATATTTACAATACAAAAGTATTATATCCCGGTAGACAAATTGTGAAGACATTGCACAATAATGGCATCATAAATTGATGAAAAATTTTATAATAATCGTGCTAAAATGATTTGCCATAACGGAATAGTTTTGTTAGAATAACATTTTTTTAATGATGTTTATCAAGAATTAGATAAATTCAATTTGAAGTGTATAAAATATTTTATAATTCACTTTCTTTTAAAAATGAATGAGACACCGGCAGCAATTGAAGAAACAAATTAGGTGCATTCAGAAGCATGACCGCTCATTGAGCGTTCAGTGAGCTCTTGTATCTGTTTGGTCTATATTTTTAGTCTAATGGAATAAGCCAATCAGATGCAAGAGCTCACTGAGCGCTCAGTGAGCGGTCGCTTCTGGTATTTTCAAATATTCGACGAACACAAAAATTCGGTTCATATGTATCCCAAAAGCTATTCTAATATTTTAGATTTAGCTATGTATAATATTTAATATTGTAATATTTATATATTATAATTTAGGAATATGTGTATTTTTATATAAACATATATACAAATATATTTTTAAAGTACAGCTAAAATATTTTTTCTAAATTATTGAATAATTTCTTTCTAAATTTAATTTGGCAAATATGCCGCTAAAATTTGCCGTATCGTTACTGTTTTGCCAAAATACTATTACATATCGAAATTAATTACAAACAATTATCAATATTTTAGAAACGGTCAGTTTTTACATCTGTTTTAGTAAATATATCCATATAATTGCAGATTACAAATTTTATGTAAGATTTCATTGTATAATTTTATAAATGTTGTCCTATTGTCGGAATATTTATAAAAAAAATTTCAATATATTGATATAAAATTAAAAGTTGATTGGAATTAATTCCAGATAATTTCCATTTCAGAACTTTGATCGATAATTAAATACATTATCTGTACACGAATCTTCGTTGACGAATGCCGTAATCGCTTCTGTTACAGTGCTTATTAAAAATACAATGATATAACGAGTCACACAATTACGCTGACTCGAGGGCGACACTTTCAATTACAAGCACTTAATATAGTCGAGTACTCGTTTTGGCATCATACCAAGGATAGACTCCGTTGTTGCAATATACATTTATTTCGACTCATGCGCTTTGATTCTTCAATGCAAATCATGGACGAGCTGCGCGTTTACAATTTATTAACGCTTGCAATTCTTTATAATTACTCTTTTCTTTATTATTACTTTCAACAAATATTTATTCACTTACCTAATTACGCGAGTAATTTCATTCAATAAATTAATCTAATGATCGTATTGATATATGTATAAAGGAATAAAATTAACAAACTGGGTAACAAAATTATTGTTTGTATAAAATTAATAGTAAATTTCTTATATAATTTTAATGAAATTTTTTTTAGAATTCTTCACATAATTTTTCGAAATTTATCACAATTTCTGTATCATTTTATAACTTTTTAGAAAATTTGTTGAATACTTTTTTAATTAAAACATTTTTTAGTAATGCTGAAAGAGTCTACATTTTTTTCTTAGAATTCTTTATATGTATACATGAATTTTGAAATATTCTCTCTTTTTCTCTCATTTTTCATTCTACAATTTCTGAAAAAAAACTTATAAAATCTGAAGAAATATAAGATACTTTTTTAGAAATGTTCATAAATTTAAAATATGACAAATTAGAAATATGAGAATCTTTTTACCAGGCAAGTAATTCACATACATTTCAGCCAAATCGTTCTTTCCGTGTTATAAATTAATAACTGTTCGGAAATTGCAATGATATAAAAATTGCCTGTAACAGATGGTTATTTTCAACAACCTGTTGTCGACGTTTACTACGCTAGAGAAATCTATTCTTGGATCGTACACTTTGCTGCGAACTACGCAATGAATAAATGTAAATTCAGATGTTCATCATTCGTGCTGGTTCTGATGATGCATTTCGCAATCCCCGGATATGTTTGCCGGTGAACAATTTATCTCGAAAAAATAAACCCGATAAGATTTCTCGTACAACTAAAATTAACTTTGTAATCGGCGATTTGCATTGGCGTTACCTCTCATTTTTTTATGTTTTGTAATGTCTAGTGCGATGTAGACTTTACATTAATTGCATAACAAAGTCAAATTCATAATTAGTAACGACGATAAAATTTCGCGAACTTTACGGTTCTATTTCCGTTGTGTACTAATACATTTAAAAAAAATTTTTTTAATTGAAATATTCAAAATACGTGAGATAATTAAGTGAATAGGATAATGTAATGTGTCACTTTTTGCTAGCTAATATAGCTATTATTTAATTATATTACACGTGCGTATATCATAATAAACAAAATATTACTATATGTAATATTAATACGTGTATGCCACTCACGAACTGCCTTGCCAATCGTAAAAGTCGATAGGACCTTGCGTGGTATCGACTTTAAAATTTGGTATGATAGAGTTTAGCCTCATTATCGCTTTGTCCTTGAATACTTGATGGAAAATTACACGTACTGTGGTCCGTCTCAGCGGGAGATTTGTCGAGCACTGGTGACTTGATAGCCGATCTTTCACTTATCCATGCACTTTATATACGGTGTCCAAATTGTTTTTATAACATGATGCAAACCATACAAACTTTACACCCATCAGATATCGTATCTCCATATCCGATTTTACGATATCGGAATAGACGTTGCTTCTTTGACATCGATACGGATGAAATTTTTTTACAAAAATGAAAAGTCTAAGAAAGAAGCAATTCCTCTATCTTGAAAAAAATAAAGATTAATTAAAGATATTCCGAAAAACAAATAAGATAAATGTCTCAGTGGCCGGATGTTTAAGCGTAGCTTGTCACAAATAATTCAATTTATAATATTAGAAAGGTTTATAATATAAATATTTGTATTCGTTTGAAAACTTGAAAAATTATTTGAACCCTTATGACAATTATTAATTGAAATATTTAAATAAGTAATAGAGTGCGTCAGTATACCAGTGGTCGCACAGACGAAATAGGTTTGGCCCAATGTTCAGATGTAACTCTGCAGGGTACACAACAAACTGTTTTTATAATTTCTGATAAACGTAAGATATTATTATTATAATATAAAGATCAATTTGAATTAATTGCCTTTTGTCATTAAATATTAATATAAAAATGAATTTGCTAACGATTCGTCACCATTTTGCCAAATCATAGACGCAAGCTTCTTTGATAAATTTTTAATACAAAAATATTTTATTTGATCTACTTTTTTTAACTGATTAATTTACTTATTATCAAATATAGGAGTTTACAATAATTATTATTTTCATTTGTAACTGTTGAAATGAATAATAAATATTATTTTTCAACATGGTCGGATACTGGAACATGTCTGACTATTGGAACCAAGATAATTGTAATCGTATCAAATCATATTTATCATCGTTACTCACACAATATGTAATTTTACAATAATATTGTAATAGTGTTACAAAATTGCTGTAATATTACATAATAATATATCAGTAATGTTGCATAAATATTGCTGCAATATTAAATGTTCGCGAAGATCCATCGTAGAAATCTTTCTGCAATATTGTGATAAAATATTCTAATAATATTATTAATTTTTAAAAGAGTTGTTGTTATGTTCAAGGAGGGCATTATCATCGCTATTGCATCATTCTATTTTTTATTTAGATCTAATTAACGATAAAGAATGACGACATAGTGCTGATAGCACGCTTCCCGATTGCGGTAATATCGAACTGTGATATACCGTATGTCAGTAAAATTACCGCAATATTACCTTATAATATTTTGCAATGTAATATCTTAGTAATATTTTCGTAATAATGCATTGAAATAGTAATTTCGTTAATTATTGAGAAAATTGCAAAATGGTAATTCTGTAAATTTATATATACTACGATATAATATGTGATATACTACGATAGTATATAAATAATTCATACAGAATTATACAAGCACTTAAAATATTATATTGTTTATTTACGTCGTCTAAATAGACGTTGTTCCTTCATATGCCAATTGTTGCGAAGAATATCAACAAATTTACAAAAATGCTAGTATCTTAATTTCTAGAAAATTTTCTGGATATTCTTTCAGGTTGCCGTGCCCGACGTTGTGGAGGCAGCAAAAGATGCCGACATCCTCATCTTCGTTTTGCCACATCAGTTTATTCGCACGTTGTGCTCAACGCTGTTGGATAACATAAAACCAACTGCAGTTGGTCTTTCTCTCATTAAGGTACGTTCTAACTCTTTTTGTTTTTGTGCTCTTAGATTAAATTAGCCAGTTTGAATTGAAGGGTTTTGGTCGAGGTGAAGGAAATAGTATTGAGTTAATCTCCAAGATCATCGAAAAGCATTTGAGAATACAATGCAATGTTCTAATGGGCGCCAATTTGGCCAATGAAGTCGCCGAGGAAAAATTCTGCGAAACCACGATCGGTAAGTATTCTTAAATACGTATGTACATATTCTCTACTTTAAAAACACAAATTCTTTGCTTTAAAAACATAAATTCTCTGCTTTAAAAATACAAACTATTTTGTTATATAATTTCTGTATTTTTAAAGCAAAGAATTCATGAAACCCTAAAACTATTGATTAAAACTCTGAACAATATTTTTGATTGGATCTTATCCTGCGAAGGGTGTTCGAGTGGTTTGGAACACTCTGTATATATAAATTCTGAAATATTCTAAAATATCTCATTCTATAATTTCTGAAGAAATCTTATAAAATTTAAAAGAGTTTAAAGTATTTTTTTTAAAGAAGTCTTCATAAATTTAAAATAATAAAAATTCTTTATTAAAAATATGTTATCAGATTATTGTGAAAATAGCTCTGTTCGACTTGCCTACACTTTTTTACATTTTTTACACTTAAAATGAGGTAGATATATATTTGGCGCTGAAAAGAGAGAAAGCGAAGATGCTGAGTGTAAAAAGTGTAAGCAAGTCGAACAGATCAAATGCTTTTCATCGGGGTATCATTCAAAGATTAAAAAATTATAGGGTGCAAGGACAAAAGATTGGCACCGGTACTGAGGGACCTTATTCAAACTCCAAACTTTCGAGTAGTTGTCGTGGAGGATTGCGAGACCGTGGAAGTTTGTGGAGCTCTAAAGGCAAGTATTATAGTTCACTTTCAAGGAAAGTTCTATATTGTTACGAATTATCTCATTGATTTCGTATATATTTAAATCATACTTATATTTTCTCGATGTTTTGTTATTCATGCATTCATGATCTCTCTAATTGACATTTCTACAACTTTTTATTCCATTTCGCTCATCAGTTTATCAAACCGAATATATTTCGATTACAGAACATTGTGGCGTGTGCAGCTGGTTTCGTAGACGGCCTCGGGTTGGGCGACAACACGAAAGCTGCGGTGATTCGATTAGGACTGATGGAGATGGTCAAGTTTGTGGACACTTTCTACAGCGGTTCTAAGCTTTCTACATTCTTCGAGAGTTGCGGCATCGCGGATTTGATTACTACTTGTTACGGAGGAAGAAATCGCAGGGTTTGCGAACAATTTGTCAAGACTGGCAAGGTGAGAGATTCTAGTAGGTCCTTATAAATTTCTGTTTATCTGCACAATTGACTAGTGATAAAAGGACTCCGCACTAATCTTATGAGTTTTGGCTCTCGGTGAAATTGTCTGTAAATTTAGTATGTTATCCTCCTTATTGTTCTGAACAAATGTCTCAATGGGCACGAAGTCCAAAAATGCCTAGGGTCCGAGTTATGGAGCGCTAAAGTATGAAAATGCGTCTATTCGCTCGATGATAATCGGTAAGATTGTAACGTATTTGTGTGTGTATGAGACTGGGAATCGATTCAGTAAACTAAGGCAGACACAAACGTTATACATGTAATATTCAATATAATATATTATAGGACCGTATGTGATAACACGAACTATATAGAAATCAAAGCCTTAATTCGGATCCAATTTTTCACAATTAATATGAAGTTCTTTCTCAGTATTCCTGAGTGTTCCAATTTGTATTTAAAAAATCTGAAAAATTTTCTTTAAAAAATTGTAAAATTTATATATATAGAAATTTTAAGACTATGAAGAATTTTAAGAAAAATTAAGAAAACTTTGCAGTAATTGTAAAATAATCCGCATATTAATAAAGGTACGTTCTGTTTTGTGCTCACAGCACTTAATTGTGAGCATCATTTGTCTTTATTTAATATTTAATAGACAACAAAGATGAACTGATGCGTGTAGTGTGTGAGTGTGAAAACAGAACGCACCCTAAGTGATGTGTAATATATTAATATATTAATCAGATTAATATATCATACAGACTATCAAAGCATTGGAAGATGAACTGCTGTCCGGGCAGAAATTACAAGGGCCAGCAACGGCAGACGAGGTCCACGATATGTTGAAGGCGCGTAACTTGATGGACAAGTTCCCGCTGTTTACCGCGGTGCACCGTATCTGTACTGATCAACTGCGACCGGCGGATTTGATCGACCAGATTCGCAGTCACCCTGAGCATGTGTAAGATCTCCATATAGGATTCAGTGATAGTAGATTCTGTTAACATTCACTACATTTGTTTTTTTTTAGTGATGCCAGATTCTGACTGCATTCGCTTTGGCGCTCACAATACTTTAAGGGTCGTTTCATCCTTGTTGTTTATTAAATATTAAACAAGGACAATTGATGCTCACAAGCGCTGTAAGCGCCAAAATGAACGCAGCCTTTAATTCGATTGAGAGTCTATTCTTTTTTACACATTTAATAATTGAATCATCAACCGATTCTGAGAAATTCGATTCATTGTCGATTCAATTCCTTTTCAACTAGAATCGAGAAAATAGTGGAGTTGCGTTCCATTTCACGCATGATATGCGTATGATGCATCATTTATCCTTGTTACTTTTATTAATAAATTTTTTCTCTTTATATTATTATAATGGTTTCTAACCATCAACTATCTTAATGAAAATAATATTTTTAAATATTTTTATTTAAAATTATTTTAATATATAATAGTATATTAAATGAATAGAATGAATAGAATAAAAAAAATTATCCATTTATTTTTGTTTGCCGCTACATATTATTCTTCTTTTGAAAGCCATGCTTCTTTTCGCGTTTCTTTTTTTGAAATGCATAGTATTTAATAATAACAGATTCAATACCTAAATTCTTTGATTTTCCCCTTCGATTTTAAAAATCATGGCCTTAAAAATGAATAGATTTATTTTTCAGAAAACGGCATCACTATATTAGATATCTTAACTCTCAATTACATGTCTTGTTTTAGAATTTTAATTTACATGTCTGGGTCCAAGCCACGGTTTTTGACTGGCTCTATAATTATTACAAATCTCAATGGAAAATACTTTTTTTTAATGAAATGCCAGAATGTATAGAATTGAAATATCAAAATATAAAAAGGTTTTGATAATAATTGAAAAAATTATGCCAAAAAATACTAAAGAACAATATGTGAAGAGTGCAATAATCAGTTTTTTTCCAAACTCATATCTTTATGATAAAAATAAGTAGTGTTTTGAAAAGAGGAAAAAGTAAACTTTAAGAAAAAAATACGTCACATTGATTCATTTCAAAAAGTATAATTATTTGCGCGACTGAAGTGGAGGCATTTTTATACATACTTGGAAAAATGATATCGGAGGTATGTCGGTTACTTTCTTCTTTAAAAAAAATGCAATAAAAATATTTTATATTAAATATATAATGATTTTGACATTTATTCACGATTTTATAACTCCAAGAAAATAGAGCTATCGTTTCACCAAGACACCTCTCTCATAAAAATGCTTTTTTGTTTTCACTTTCGGCAAAAATCTGACATTTGACGGGTCCAAGTCACCCAAGCCAAAGGCATTTTTATACATACTTGGAAAAATGATATCGGAGGTATGTCGGTTACTTTCTTCTTTAAAAAAAATGCAATAAAAATATTTTATATTAAATATATAATGATTTTGACATTTATTCACGATTTTATAACTCCAAGAAAATAGAGCTATCGTTTCACCAAGACACCTCTCTCATAAAAATGCTTTTTTGTTTTCACTTTCGGCAAAAATCTGACATTTGACGGGTCCAAGTCACCCAAGCCAAACTTTTATTGCATCACAATTAGCGTCAAGACGATAACGAGACAATTGTATTACAGTGATCGATAAAGGATTCAAATTTTTTTACCCCCTCACTTCAACTCTGCAATATTAACTGTATAAAAATAGCGACCGACTAAAATTTTCACCCGGGTCCAAAACTCTAAATGACCCATTCATGTAGTTGATTAAAGTTGTCCTGTTTTACCACGATTACGTTTTAGGAGAAATCTCCGAATTAGCTTCACGGATTGCAATTTTTTTATGAAATTAAAGAATGCATAAAAAGAAATCCTGCAAAACTGATTTCACGAGAAAATCAGAAAAAAATTAAAAAATTCACTCTTTCTGAGAAAAGATGCTATTTTTATTAAAATCCATTCCTTCAGGTTCGCTCCAAAGACCCTCTTTATGTACTGAGTCCTCTTCCTCCTCGTTAAATTCTCGAGTAGAGATTATATTTGCCTCTATTCTACACAATCCTTACTTCTTGTACACATGAATAATTACACAAAATATATGAGAAAGGTGAGATATTTAAAGCTATCGTGGTAATGGAATAAATATAAAATAATTTCCTTATGTTTCAGAATGAAATTGGAAGAGGGAAATACATAGTTCATGCAAAATATATGAATTTAACACGAGGTGTAGAAACAGCCTATGATAAGAAGAAAATGATTTAACCACTAAAGGCTTGTACATAATTTGAACGTTCCTAATGTAATCTTATTACTGTAAATAAAGATTAATTATGAAATGAAATAGCGTTTTTCCATTAAAATCGCTAAACATGTATTTTTTATATTATATATTACATTATTTAGAAATTTTAATTTTAAATGATCAGATGTCTAGGTGATTTCACTATAATAACTATTCATAATATATTAACTTTAATTTTTACTCTTGTTCGATATCCTTCAATATCATAGATTATGAGCAGCTCAATTTAGGTTTTGCTTTCTTTGTCTAATTTATCATCTTTTTGATCCTTATAAGGCACATTATCTACTAAGACATCTGGAGTAAGTCGTAGTGCTGAAATTATAATTTAAGTTTGCTTATTAATTAGGTATAAAATTATATGACACAATTAATGTTTTATTTATTACTCGGAATTAATGATAATTACCTAATCTTCCAGGTACAGTTTCGACCGCTTGTATGACAGTCGTTCGTATTTCATATTCGACTTCCTGAGCGAATTTATTTAACTGAAATAATAATAACGCAATGTTTCTGTACAAGTTTCATTTATAAGCTTAGATATATAGTCTGCCTACAATATTTCCATTGTACATTATATACATGTTTAAAACAAAGGGATATACCTCCTTAATCACTGCCTGATTTGTGATACTTTTATATTTTTTGTATTCTTTGTTTATCTGATCCCTCACAACTAATGAACAATATAATAAAATATTACTTATTGAAAATGAAAGATTTATCAGAGTGTAGATTACTGACAAAGTGTATATTACCTTGCAACGCATATTCATCGCCTTCAAATGTCTTTAATCTTGTTCTATGAAGTTTCTTGAAGACTCGCAAAATCTGAAAATAATTATAATCTTAAAAATAAACGAACAAGTGAAGAAATAAATAAATTGAAAGGCAACAGAAGTATAACTTCCTAATGACTCGAAATTAAAAGAAAAAGGTTTAGACAAATGAGAGTATAAACGCGATAATTAGAGGGCAATAATCTTACAAGATGATTTTTAATGTTTGTTTTCTTATACATGAGGTTCGTATGTTTCGACTCGGTTTAGAGTCTTCATCAGCAACTAAGTATTTACAAATTAATTAGAAAACATCTCTTCCTCAAATATATACAGCCACTACAGGATTGATAGATCCCAAGTGAAGTAATTTGATTACGAATTTTAATTTTAAATTCTGCAAAGATAAATATGAATTGAAAAAACTGAACAAATATGAGTGTCTAAATAACATAAGTATAAACTGAATTATGTGACTTATCATAAAAAAAGAGCGTTTTACATTACAGAACAGACTTAATCATTTTATTTTATTATCGCATCTTAGATTTCATGACAAGAATATTAGATTCATTGTAAATGCATTATTAAATAATAACTATCCTCCAAATTTTATTTTTGAAACTATAAATATAAGACTAAAAGCTCTTTTTAACAAACAGATGAAAATACAATGTATATGGAGCAGAGTAACGCTTTTTTCGCCAGATTCTTTTGTTTCATATAAAAACGCATCAAATAAGCCTAATTTCATTTTTGGGGTGGGGGGTTAAACTGAATAATTACCGAAATTAAAATATATATACAAGCTGATCATACAGAAATAAAGATTGAAACAACGTTACATATGCAATATATATTTCGTATGATATTTTATTGTTGTCAGCAATATCCTAGCACTTCCCGATATTATATTATTTTTTTCTGTCAGATACATCCAAAAACACTGCGATATTAATTTTTTTAGATTAACTTAAAAATCTAGCGTATAATCTAAAAATATTGATAATAAACAATAGCCTTAACACAATTACTATTATGTATAGAATAAGCATTAATTGAACAACAGTTAACCTCTCGTCGAAGAGATTCGCCCATTTACGAAAATTTTTCACAATTAGTGCTTGTTCTAATAGTAATGGTTGGGTAAATGTTAAAAAGACTCCGTCCACCTCAAATTTTACTAAAAATACTGAATCGATCTTCTTCTTATTTTAATAGCACCTGCTTCCCTTACACAATGGGTGCGTTCAGCAGAACGTTTGTTTTGCAACTGTTGTAAGTTTCCTTCGCGCTAATTGGATTATACTTTTAGATCTAGAAGAATGGTCCTATCTCAGCAAATCATAAAACGGTTGCAAAACTGTTGAGTCTGCTGAACGCAGCCAATCGAAGATCGGAAATGTCGGAATCCATAGTCCGTTCTTCTTCTTATTACGGCTGTGTTCCAAATTTACTGCCAACACTGAAAATGCTACAGTTTACGTTACATGCACTATAGATTTTCAGTACCGACAGTCAATTTTGGAACACAGCCTACGTTGGCACTTACCGTCTTTAAGGTGAAATCACATGCTGGATTCACACTGTATCCGATTTTCGT